AAACTTGGATTTTTCAAACTTTGAGACCTAGATTAGCCAAACTTTTACACCTGGATAGTCAAACTTTTAAACTTGGATTTTTAAAATTTTTAAACCTGAATTAGTCACACTTTTAAACTTGGATTTGTTAAACTTTTAAAAGCAGAAGAAAGAAGAAAAAGGATAAAAAATGTTTTAAAGCCACCAAAAAGTAACAGTAAAAAATTGAGATACAAAACCCAAAGAATTTGAAAATCACCCCCCAAAAATTAGAAAAACATCTAAACTTGGATTTGTTAAACTTTTAAATCTGAGTAAGTCAAATTTTTAAACTCTTATTTGCTAAACTTTTAAACCTGGACTAGCCAAACTTTTAAACTTGGATTTTTCAAACTTTGAGACCTAGATTAGCCAAACTTTTACACCTGGATAGTCAAACTTTTAAACTTGGATTTTTAAAATTTTTAAACCTGAATTAGTCACACTTTTAAACTTGGATTTGTTAAACTTTTAAAAGCAGAAGAAAGAAGAAAAAGGATAAAAAATGTTTTAAAGCCACCAAAAAGTAACAGTAAAAAATTGAGATACAAAACCCAAAGAATTTGAAAATCACCCCCCAAAAATTAGAAACCACAAAAAGTAAAAAAAAAAAAAAAAAAAATTATAACAACTTTAAAATTCTCCAAGATAAATATAAAACTCCCAAATTATTACACAGTCTATTAAAAATAAATATATACAAAAAACTAAAAAAAAAAGACAAATATAAAAATCCCAACTCCCCTCACAAAATTAAAAAATAAAAGTCCCCAACAACCCACACTGAAATTGGCACAAATTACCCCAAATGAATTTTGTGAGGTGACCTTTAAATCCTTAAATCATTTCCCTTTTAAATATTCAAAAATAATTATGAATATTCAATATATTTTTATTTTTCTGTTTGCCACTCTCTGCCCCCAGCCTGCAGCTGCTTTTTCTGCCTCTCCTTGATGCAGAATAAATGAGATTTCTTTTTATCTTCATTAAAACACTACAAAACTACAATTAAAATTCTTTTAGCCACGATTCCAGCAATCAGAGTTTTAAAAAAATGCAAATAAAATGAAGTTTTCCTCAAGCTTTTAAATACCTCTGGGCACCGAGGGTCTCTAACAGAATAAATTACCCGAAAAAGGGAGGGCAAATATTTCCAAAAATAATCCTGGGATACAGCAAAGAAAATGAAATTTAAATTAAGCTGAAGTCAGGGCAGAATTTAATTTAAATTAAGATTTTACCAAGCAATATTTGTCAGCAAAAACGCTCTCCACCAGAAAATATTTGAATATTTTTTATTAAAAGTGCCATTTCTGGAGAAGATTTAAAGCAGTTACACGGCAATAAGAAAACATCCAAACACTGAATAATGAAGAATTTATCAGGATTTAAGTTTTAAAAATAAACCTTCTATAGGCTGTCCAGTGCAATGTAAATAAAATCATATTACACACACACACATATATATATATCATAAAAAATACATTTAACTGCACAAGCGGATGGATTTGTCATTATTTCTGAATTATTTTCAGGTTCAAAAATTGATGGATTTACAGAAACATCATTCCCAAAGTTTAGGGGTGGATTTAGGCAATGAAAAATTGAATATATTTAAATTGCTACATCTGTGAACCCAAACTGAGATAAAGACATCACAGAAAATTGGTTTTATCAAAAGAAAATTGGAATATATTTAAATTACAACATCTGTGAACCCAAACTGAGATAAAGAGATCACTGAAAATTGGTGTTATCACATGAAAAATTGAATATATTTAAATTACAACACCTGCAATTTAAATTACAACATCTGAACCCAAATTGAGACAAGGACATCACTGAAAATTGGTTTTATCAAATCCAGTAATACTTTTTAAAGTTCTTCAGATAGAGATCTGAAAATTGTGATACCTGAAAATATTTAATATAAAAATTCTGCCATAAATTAAGGTCGGATTTCTGTACAGTCATTAATCCTGCCAAAAATATGGTGAATTTCAATACTCTTTTCTCAGCATGTTTTTCCTACAAAATCAGCATTTAACATCAAATCCAAGCAGGGTTTTCCATTAAAAGAGATGAAGCAAGGGGAAAAACTGAAATTCCCTCTTAAATTCCATATTTCTTCTACCAAGTGCCTCTTTGCATTGCATTAAGAGCATTTGCATATTCAATTCCCCATTAAAAATAATCCCAAGATTTGCAATAACAAAGGGATTGATTCATCCCAATGATTAAACCTCATCATTAATATCCTCCACTCTTGGAATTCTAAAATTCTGATTTAAAAAAATAAAATCCAAGGTCAAATCCCTTCACAGGCCCAGGCTGCATCCTTAAACCTTCAGCTGATTTATTGGGGTTTATCCCAAACAATTCTTTCCCAAAAGCAGAGGCATTTTATGAGGTTTAAAATCTTCATTTCATAATTTCTTCACTTTCCAGTGAGGGGAAAAAAAAAATCATTCAACAGAGGAAAAAAGCCCTCCTGAAATGTGCTTTTTTTTGTTGCTGCAGCAGTTTTTTAGGGCCTCCCTGCCATTCCCAAAAGCTCTGGAATTGCATTTCCACTATAAAAAACCCCTCAGGACTGAGATTATTGTAAATTATTGACAGTGACCCCTACAAGACCACAGAGCTCTTGGAGGCCTCGTTGAGATTCCAAGAATTATTCCCCAAAATTGAATTTAGGAGCAATTTGTGCAGGAAAAATCCAATGACCCAAAATGTGGGAGCCAACTTCCACTTGGAGGAATTCCCCGTGGAGCAGAGAGAAACCTGGAATGGTTTGTCCACCAGAAAAAAAATAAAAATCCTTTCATCTGGAAAAATCCTTCATGGAGCAGAAGGATGAAGGTAATTATGGGATATCAGAGAATCCTGGAATGGTTTGGGTTGGGAAGGATCTTAAAGCGCACCCAGATCATCCAGGGACACCTCCCACCGTCCCAACGATGCCTCAGGTTCAGCTTTTCTGTGTTTCAGACTCTGTGCTGCTTCAGTGTGCAGTTCTGAGCTTCACATTAAGGCTTGCTGAGCTCTGTGCACAGAGCAGGGACACAAAACAATTCCTGCTCCAGCTGGGCACCAAGGACAAATGATCCAAATCTCAGCCCAGGAGCACAAACCCCGTGGGCTGCAGAGAGAAAAACAAGCAGGATGGGAGTGCAGGGGCTGAGCTGGAATTGGACACTGAACTGCAATGTGCACATGGAGCAGAGCTGATCCCAGGGAGAGACCCCGGGAGCGCTCGTGCATTTTGGGACCATTTGGGTTCATCCTGGGTGCAGCCCTGGCTGGGCTCTTGTGCTGCCCAAGGTGCATCCATGGAGGAGATCCTTGAATCAATCCCTGCTTTATTCTGGAACTCTGTCCAGCCTCTGCTCCAGGGCAGCCTTCACAAGGATTGTTCCAAGCTACATCCAACCTGACCTTGAACACTCCCAGGGATCCAGGGGCAGCCACAGCTGCTCTGGCAATTCCAGCCCAGCCAGGAATTCCCAATTCCCAATCTCCCATCCATCCCTGCCCCTCTGGCAGTGGGAGCCATTCCCTGAGTCCTGTCCCTCCATCCCTTGTCCCCAGTCCCTCTCCAGCTCTCCTGGATTCCCTTTAGGCCCTGGAATGTGCTGGAAGCTCTCCCCTCATCCTTCCCCTCTCCAGGTGAACATTCCCAGCTCTCCCAGCCTGGCTTCAGAGCAGAATTCCAGCCCTGCTGGGTGGCACAGAATCCAGATATGAAAAGAGAGAATCCAGATCTTGAGGAATGAGAGATTCATGAGAATCCAGATCTTGGAAAACCTTGACTCAGACATCAAGAACCATTTCCTTTGGCAAGGAAAAAGCTTTTCCATCCAAATTTTATAGGTGCACAATCGCCTGTCCAGGAGCCACAGACCGAATTCAGTCACCTTTCTGCATTCTAAGAATACTGTGGAGGAAATTTCGGAATGTCAACAGGCCTGGAAATATTTCAAAATCTTTTTTATAACTAAATACAATTAGTGACACAAACTAGCAAATAATTAAGGCAATATTGATGTGAAAGAAGCCAAATTTGTAGCTACTCAAATTTTTTAGGGAACAGCTCCAAATCTCTTTTTTGAGTCAGTTTAAGTGATCCATCCTTCCTGAAAACATCCACCAGGACAATAACATTCCTGGAAAAAACCTGTGCAAATCAAGAGAGAACACAGCAGAATTCCCTCCTTATTTATTCCAAGTGTCCACTTGGATTTTTTAGGATAATGAAGCTGCTTGACCATAGCTGTGATTTGAAAGTGGTGATATCCCAATATCACAAAAATAATATTTTTGTGATATTCTGAGTTGAGACTCAATTGCAATGAAATAATCCTTTTGCTTTTGAAGATCAGGAATCCTGCTCTGGGTGCTCCAACAGGATTTTTAGGAATTCTACATTTCCCACAGCTTTAAAACATGAGGAGGATGAGACATTTTACAGAAAGAAAATAATTAACTTTGTATTATTGCCAGGAGAAATAAGAGCTCTGATCAAGCAGAAAAAAACCCAATCTCATATTTGTTCTCTATGAAAACCAGAGGTGCTCGCTATGAAATCAAGATAAGCTCAAACACACCTTGATAAGAAACTCCGAGTTGTTTCTGCACATAAAAGGTTTAAATCCAGTTCCCACCTTTCCAGACAAACCACTCAAAGCTCCTTTTGATTGTGATTGTCACAGCTCCGTCCCAAAACCCAAAAAAATGTGCATTTTCCTCAGAAAACAGGGAATTAAACCTCGAGTCCTCCCCACTGCTCCACCCACTGGGGGTTTTTTGTGGGGTTTATTTCCAATACTGACGGGGAAGGATTCCCACTAAAACACGCGAGGAGTGCAGGATGCGCCTTTCCTTAAATCTGCTGGGACGAGGGGGATGAAATCCACTTCTCCTCGGAGAGCCTGGGGGTTCCTGGCCCGGGGACTGTCCCAGCAGCTCTGTCTGGGGGTGCTGTGTCAGGACAGTGCCATTGTCACCAGTGCCACCAGTGTCACCAGTGGCAGCAGGCTGGGCAGGGCGCGGCTGCCCGCGGCCGTCCTGCGCGCCTGCAGCACGGCGAACACCGCGTTGGTGGCGTTGGTGGGGATCTCCACATTGCAGATCATGCCTTCACAGCAGGAAACACACTCCTGCCGGGAGAAAAGGGTCATTAACTCAAGGTAATTAACTCGGGGTAATTAATTCGGGGTAATTAATTCGGGGTAATTAATTCGGGGCGGTTTTAAGAGAGAAATGCGCATTCAGTGTCGCAAAGCTGAGCTGAACAGACCCATCCTGGCCAGGGCAGAAGGTGAAGCAGATATGCTAAAAATCATCCTAAAATCCAATTTATCCATGAATCAATTATCCAAATCAGGAGTACAGTTTTTTTCCTGGAGTCACTCATCCCCAGGTGTGTCCCCAAGCTGGAGTGGGATGTCACAGAGCCACACTGACACTGCAGAAAACAGAGCTTCCCTTTCTAACACATCAACTCAAAATATGCTCTGCAACATATCAGCTTTTCTTAAGCCGAAAAATTCTGACTCTAAAAACTTTGTTCCCACTCAGTTTTCCCCTCCAATTGTTCCCCAGTGCAGAGCATGCAGAAATCCCATTGTTCCCAGTGCAGAGCATGCAGAAATCCCATTGCTCCCAGTGCAGAGCATGCAGAAATCCCATTGTTCCCCTGTGCAGAGCAGCTCTTGGCACATCCTCCTGGAAAAACCAGCCCTGGAATGGCCACCTCCAGCCCCAGGAGCAGGCAAGAGTAGGGCAGGAGTAGAACAGGAGCAGGGCAGGAGTAGGGCAGGGTAGAGCAGGAGCACAGCAGGAGTAGGCCAGGAGCAGGGCAAGAGCAGGAGTAGAGCAGGAGCAGGATACGAGTAGAGCACAAGCAGGACAGAGCAGAGCAGGAGTAGAGCAGGAGCAAGGCACAAGTAGAACACAAGCAGGGCAGAGCAGGAACAGGGTACGAGTAGAACATGAGCAGGGCAAAGCAGAGAAGGAGTAGAGCAGGAACAGAGCAGGAGCAGGGAGCAGAGCACGAGAAGGGCAGGAGCAGGGTGTGAGCAGAACACGAGTAGAGCAGGAGCAGAACCCGAGCAGGCAGAAGAGAGCAGGAATAGACCAGGGGCAGGATACGAGTAGAGTATGAGTAGAGAAGGAGTAGGGCAGGAGAAGGGTACGAGTGGAGCAGGAACAGGGTGTGAATAGAACACAAGCACAGCAGGAGTAGAGCAGGAGTAGGACATGAGTAGGACATGAGTAGAACATGAGTAGAACATGAGTAGAACATGAGTAGGACAGGAGCAGAGCAGGAGCAGAGCAGGAGTAGAGCAGGAGCAGAGCAGGAGCAGAGCAGGAGTAGAACATGAGTAGAACATGAGTAGGACAGGAGCAGGCAGAGCAGAGCAGGAGCAGAGCAGGAGCAGAGCAGGAGCAGAGAAGGAGCAGAGCAGGAGCAGAGCAGGAGTAGGACATGAGCAGAGCAGGAGCAGAGCAGGAGCAGAGCAGGAGCAGCAGCGTGGCGCTGACCGTGTGGCCGCTGTCCCCGCGGCGGTGGCACCCCACCAGGTGACACTCCTCGCCCGTGGCACACCTCTTGGTGACCGAGGTGCTCTCCCCACGCGCCGTGAAGAGGTGAGCGGTCAGGCAGTACCGAGTGCCTGCAGAAGCAAATCAGGGGTTGGATTGCCACCACTGATCCTTGGGAACAGCCCTTCACATCCACACACAGCTCAGGGAAACATTCCCAGAAAATCGCTCGACGGAATGATTTGCAACTCGATGAAAAGAGCATTTAGCAAGAAATTAATTCCTGTGAAATCTCAGCTGACCCTTCAAACCTCCAGCAAGGCTGCTTTGATTGAAATTACTAATTAGCGCCATCACCCACGCGTTTATTTTTATTTCTCTCCTCTTTTTGGCAGCACGTTCCTGCGTGGTTTCAGGTTGGTTTCCTCATTCCTCTGCTTTGCTTCTTCCCCTTTCCCACCGTTCCCGCGAATGTCACCGGGGTGAAAAATGAGGAAACGTTTCCATTATTTCTGAGCTTTATCCTCCCCAGCACAGGTGTGAGCCCCAGTCAGGCAGGTCCTGCTGCTCACTAAGAACTTTTGGGATGGCATCCAAAGGAAAGGGAATAAAGCTGCAGAGGAAATTCTTCAAGTTTTTTAAACAACGTCTTTAAATTAACTCTTGGGAAGCACATAATTATGTATATATACACAGGGAAACATAGTTAAATAATATGGATGTATTATTAAAAATCTGTTTGAATATTAATTTTTTTTGTAATATAAAACTGGGAGATGGAGATAAATGATTTTTCACTGTTGCTTTACAACCCTGAAGAAAATAAAGCTACAGAGGAAATTCTTCAGGTGTTCTAAACAAGATTAAAATGAACTCTTGGGAAACTCATAATCATATACACAGAAAAACACAGGTAGTTAACTAATACTGATATGTTATTAAAAATCTGTATATTAATATTATTGTTATATATTACATAAAACTGAGAGAGATGGAGATAAATAATTTTTGACTGCCACTTTACACTCTGAGGGAATAAAGCTACAGAGGAAATTCTTCAGGTTTTTTAACAAGATTAAAATTGACTCTTGGGAGGCACATTATTATATATATACAAACAGAAACATACACAGGTAATTAATACTGATCTATTATTAAAAATACTAAAATTATTTTAAATAATGTTATATTAAAATATTATTAATAAATTGAATATTAACATTTAAATTCATATTAAAATATTACCATATTTAAATGATTGTATAATAATATTTTGATATATATTATATAAAAATGAGGGAGATGGAGATGAATAACTTTTCCCTGTTGCTTTACACTCTGGAATGGCCAAAATTATCACACCAGCAGAAATTACCTGACTCAGCACTACCAACAACAAAACTGTGCTGGCACATCAGTGCCATGAATGAGCCTGACTTCTCCAAGGGGGTGAGTCAGGGAAAAGCAAGGTTAAATGTCACAAATATTGAATATCTCCTCATCCAGCCTTACTCACTTTCAGGACACCACCTGTCTTCAGCCCATCTGTTGCAGTTGTAGTTGTCCACCGCGTTGTCACAGGTAAAGCACTTGAAACTGTTTGGGAATGGAGTGGCTTGGAAAGGGTTAAAAAAGCATTAAAATACAGCCGGTTGGAAGTATTGAGAAAAAAAATTAAGATATTCAAAATTATGCTTGTACACACATGTATTTACAGGAATGAATTATATATATTTACATCTTTTCGCTGTCAGACAAATAAAACAAGTTTTGCAGAAAGCTTTTTGTTTTCTCTAGGCTTGAACTCAAAATACATCCTCATGTTTTCGCTCTCATAATCCAAAATTGAGGCAGTGGTGGGAAAAGCAGGGAAGAAGGAAGAGTTTATCTCCCTCCTCGTGGAGCAAACATAAATCTACATTCTCCTTTGATGGAAAAACTGCATTTCCAAAGCAGCTCCAGAGCCTGAACTCCCACTCAGAAGGAGAAGTTGGATCCTCTAAACAAAAGGTCTTTTAAAATCTTATTTCCATTAATTCAATGAATTATTGGAAGGTGCAGGGTTCACTAGGGGCAGGTATTATTTCCAGCTACTATATCCTGGCTGGTTTTTTTTATCCTTTTTTTCCTGGCTGCAGATAATGCAAATGAAGGGATGGAACACTGGTGATGCCAGATAAGAGGCAAAAAAAAAAAAAAAAAAAAAAAAAAAAGAGATGCCATTAATGCCAACTGGCTTCACAGGTCCCACGAGGTTTTTAATTACCTTCAGAGTGAATTAATTGCATGCAGCAACACCTATTCCTCCCCTTACAAAACCCCCAACAAGATAAAAGACCAAAACCACCTGTTCTGGATTATTTACAAGGAAACCGCTGCATAATTTCCTCTGCAGGGAGACAGAAATAATACAAGAAAAGCCCTTAAAATGCCAAACTCCTCGTGCACTCTAATTTTGCAATGATTTGATTCATTTTCATTCAGTCAGCTTGTCAGATATTAAGGGCAAAGTGCTGCAGGTTGAGAAGCAAAATGTTTATTTTAAAGTTTCTTTGGAGATGAACAGCTGAAACCCAAAGCACCGCGAGGATGGGGCAAATATTTACAATTTTAAGCTAGAATTCTGTATAGAAAAGGCCAGAATTCCATTAAAAAAAACCCCAAAAAGCTACTTACGGTCTAGTGGAGGCCTGATGTTGTAGAAGTTGATGTTCTCAGCTGAAGCCCAATGTCCGGAGAGGATGAGGAACGGGAGAACGGCTGCGGCCAGCGACGCCCCCATCCCGGGCATCACTGCGCGGGGAAACCCCCACGCCTCAGGCCTGCAAAAGCACGGGGACACATCATTCAGTGGGAATTGTGAGGACCTGAGGTGGGGGGTGATGAATTTCCTGCCAAATCCTGCTGGAAGTGTGGCGATGCAGCCGGGAACGCCGGCTGAGCGGCGCAAAGCTGAGCTGGTGGTGCCTTCTGCTGGCCAGAACCCCTCACAGAGGGCTGGGACTCGCAAAAGAAACTCAAGTTCACGTTATTCCTTTCATCTATTTGTCCTCCTGAGCCTTAAAAATCCCTCGAGAGGATTCCTAAAAATCAACAGGATTGAGGTGCCTTAGATCCGACTTGAAACAGGGCGGAATAAACAGCACTAAACGCAGAGGAATCTCAATTTTAACACCAACAACCAATCCCTTACCTGAGATAAATAAATTTCACTTCAGACAAGCTGCATCATCTGAATTTTAAGTGCACTTTGCACTGTCACAGCATTAAAATTTTTAAGTGTAAATTCAATTTATTTCTTTTTAAGTGCATCCCAAGGGAATGCTAAGGAAGATGGCACAGACGTGCTGGAGAAAGGCAGGGTGGAAAGTTCACAGGGATGAGATGCAATCACCCCAAAAATCCATTTACTTGTGGCCCCCCGGGTGCTCTGCTTTAGAGAGATGAACTGAGCATTTTGTTCAGGTTGCTATTCAGATTTCCACACCTCCAGACAAACACAGGGAATTGTGGCAAATTCCAGTGGCCCTGGAGCCTGGTTCAGATATTACAAATCACAGCCTCACTCCTCCCATGCAAATTCCCAGCAGGACAAACAAGCTGGACTGGAGGCTCCTGCCGAACCAGAGCCAAAGGCATTCCCTCCAAACTTCCAGGCACACCCTGGCCAGGCTGGAAATGGGGCTCAGCAGTGAATTCCAGGAATTTCCCTCTTTTCCCTGCATTTTTTGGATTGGTTGGGGTTTTTCCTTTTCCAGTGGAGATGGTTTTGCCAACCAAGCAAACAACAGAATTTTAGGAAGTGTGAATTTTATTGTGAATTTAACCGCACTTCTTGAGATCTGATAATTAAACCTTGGCTTTATGGATCTATTTCAGGAGAAATTCCAAAGTCACAGCCTACCTCTGCTCCCTGTGTACTTCCAACACTCTTTTCCATAGGATGGTCCAGATTTCTTCTGGCTGCAGCTCAGGATCAGAAGGAGTAAGCAGAAGAATCTGTGGAGAACAAACAGCAACAGATCATCAAAATTCTCTTTTCTGGAAAAAAAATTAGCATTAGATTAAGATAAAAATTAGGGGTTTATAATGAAATATCTGCAGAAGCACTTGAACTACACAATATGGCTCTCACCGAGTTTCGTGGGGATTGAAATTCCCGCCTTCCTGCGATATTCCAGTGCCATAAAAGACAAATAAAAGACAAAAAGTGAAGGAATGAGGCTCAGCCCACCCCCGAGGATGAGTTTCCTCCAGGAAAACCACTGCTGAGGGGATGACCTGGGTGGGACCACACCAGTGAACATTCCCATTCCAGGGATATCCCAGCTTTCCCCAGGATTCTGCCCAAAACAGAAGCACAGATCAGCAGCAAGGGAACCTGAGGGAGTGAAGACAAACCAGTGAGGGGCTGATGAACAAACAGTTCCCCCCAGTGTGTGGAGCTGATCCAATTCCTGGAATTCCAGGTCATTCCAAGGCTGCAATTGCCAGAGCCACATTCCTGATCCCAATCACCCCATCCTTGTGCCCCTGCACCATCAGGGATGCAAATTTCCTGACTCCAAGAAGGCTCCTAACCTTAAAAATGCTTCAGGGATGTTGGTAATGAGATGAGAAGAGTCTTTTCTGTGCCTCAAGTCCTCGCTCTCCTTCCTGGATGCCTCACAAATAACTGTTTATCCTGGAATTCCAGGATGGTTTGTGTTGGAAGGGAATTTAAAGCTCATCCAGTTCCACCTCCCTTCCACTTCCACGCCTTCAGCTTGCTCCAAGCCCTTCCAACCTGGCCTGGGACATTTAAATCCTTGGAATATCTTTATTATATCCTTGGAATAGCTCAAGCAACCCAGTTTTGATCAAGAATTCCACAAAATCACCGCGCACTTCAAGCATTTTAAAATTATTTCCATTTCACTCCGCAGGAAGGGAGGCAATTGAATCATTCCAACATTTCCAGGACTTCTCTCCTTGTCCTGTATTTGCTGCTGGCTGAAGGAAACTCTCCTTTTACGGGCTGTAACTGGATCTGAAGCACCTGGGCAGAAATAAAAGGCACAATTCCACTTGTGGAATTGTGCAGACCCAGGCTCCCCCTCCTCCAGGCTCCTCTGGCTTTCCCCAGTGCCAAATGGAAAATCTGAGGGGAACATAAACACAAAAAAAAAAAGTGACTCTGGCTGGGGGCAAGGCTCAGTAAATCGACCTCCCAACCTGATGCAGTCAAAGGTGTCCTTGTTTGCCAAGCAGGCCAATAAATAATGGATTTTGTTTGCCATGGCTTGGTTACACAGCTGCACCGCCAGGGCCTTCTCCAACCAAACAAGAAAATATTGGCCCATAAATGGCTTTCCTATCTCACCCAGGATCTTTCAAAAGCTTATTTTCTTCACAGAGCCTTATCTCTGTCGAGCTGGCAGATAATATTGTCTAGCAGAGTGAGTAAATGTTTCATTAGGCCCAATTAGGAGCTCTCATTAATGAGGGGGGGAAAAATGTCACAACATGGAAGATTAACTTATATAAACAGGAGCAAACAGGGAGCTCCAGCTTTCCTGGGGGAGGGAAGACAACTCAAAAGGGAAGGGCTGAGTGCTATAAAAAACCCTGTGACTAAATCCCATTTCAAGAAAACAACCAGGAACACAACGGCTGAAGGAATTAAAATATTCCAGAAGGCTGGAACCTCGCAGGGAGTGATGGAAAAGTGGGAAGCAGCATCCCTGCTCTCTGATTTTAATAAAATTCCAGTCTGTTGACATTGTTTTTCCTGGCAGGCTCAGTGGAGGATTAGCAGATGGAACATCAGATATGGAATGCAAATGAAACTTCCTGCTGTCATTTAGCAAGCAATTTTCAGGTGCTGTTAGATAATTGCAAGTGCTTCTGTTAAGCTTGTTAAATTGCTCTTCGGGACACGGGAGAGATCCACGGGCAGAAAGGAATTTTTTCTGTTCGGGGCTGGAAAGGTAAAACCCAACACCTGACGTGGCCCTGCCACAAATCCCAAAGGCCACAAAGGAAATTCAGCTTGGCTCAAGGGGCAAAAAGATCTCCCTGGCTGCCCCGTTCTCTTGTTCTCCTCTGGAGACCATTTAATTCCTGCAAAACTCAGCCAGCGAAGAAGTGGCAGAATAAATCCTTAAAAACCCCAAAATTTTCTTCAGGAAACAAGCAGGCACGTTTAAAATGAAAAGTGAATATTTTGCAGATTAAAGCAGCCCAAAAATTACTGCAGAGCTGCAAATTTAAAGCTCTTTGCTGTGGAAGTTTTATCTTTTTTTCCCTGCTGAGTTAAGTCTGTATTTTTTCACTCTTTGCCTCCCAGCACGTTGTTATTAGCAGAACACACCCCAGAAAAACAGATTTTACATCACACTGACAGACATCTGCAAGGAGCAACAGTGACAGAATCGAAGTGAACTCATCCACCGGATCTTCAACCACCACACGTTTCCTTTGGCTGCACCCACAGCCCCACTTGGAACTAAGATTTGGCCTTAATTACCAGAAATTACCGAGTTCTTTATCTGAGATCTTGTAAAAGCGAAGCACAACGTGGTTTAGCTCGGGGGAGGATGTTGGCATGGGAGGTGTCTGACTGCACCGAGCACACCAGGTGATTTCAGAAAGAAAATAATCCCTGACAAACACGATGAACCTGGGAAGCACCACTGGAGGGAAGGATTTGTGAGCTGAAAACACGGAATGAAAAGTGCATTATTCCTTTCACAGCTCAAACTGGCACCCAGGTTAAAATCCAGAATCTCCCATCGTGGATGGATGGATTTTCCCCACGTGGAAAATAATTTATTTTGTCTAAAAATCCATTAAGGAGATGAAATTTCTGCCAGTTTTCCATTTCCTCAAAGAACTGTGCTTTGCCAAAGCTCTGGATGGCCAGAAGTTGAGTTTGGAGCAGCTTTTATACATCTCCTGCAACTGGTTTAAATCTCCCCCTCACCTGAGCAAGGCTGGAAACTGGAATTTAATATGGCTCTGGAGAAAAGAGATTACAGGAATAAGCAGCATTCTTTTTCCTTGAGACTTGGTTTCACAAAATTAAATGTACAGATAATTAAGGTTTAACAATATGGAACACACAGATTATTTAATCAAACACCTCATTGGATCTGGCCATTAGTGACCTGTGAGTGAACACCAACACAGGAGAGAAAATTCTGATTTTCAGTGGTTTTCTTCTCCAAGTTTAGCTCCAGACCACATCAATAAAAGGCCTATTTAATCCTGCCACATTACTCATTTTCAGCAGCACTCCAGATATCCCTGCACACTCCAGACCTATTTTCCAAGAGGAAAAAGGTGGAACAAAACAACACTGCTCCAACAAAATCAAGCAATATTATATTGCTCTATATTCTGCACTATTTTACATTATTAATAAAAATATTATATTTCTATATTATTAATAGAATAATTATAATAACGGATAGAATACATAAACAGAATGTATATTTCTATATTATTAATAGAAAACAAAACTTTTCAGGCAGTTCAATTCAACCTCAGAAACACCCCTGGGTTTTATTTCCAGGTGAAATGCTATTTCTGAAACAAACCCTGCCCAGTGCACAGGGGCACAGATGTCACAGAATTCCATTTCTCATTCCAGCCAACACAGGAGGAGCCACTCCAGACAACCCCAACAAGAACCAGGGTGCCCTGGTGAAGGGAGGAATGATGGATCTGACTCCATCTTCTCAGAAGGCTAATTTATTATTTTGTGACACTATATTACATTAAAGGTTACTAAACTAAAGA